TTTGCGGTCATCTATATTAGATAAATTCGATCGTATCTGCACTGTGAAATGATACAGCATCCCCGGACATAGTTACGAAGCTTCTTGTCGGCGTCGATAGTAGCAGAGTAAACAGTTAACAGTTTTTCAGAGGTAAAGAAAGCCTAAAAAAAGAAATAGCGGCGGTACAAAACACGTCTATTCTGGTTAGTTGCTAATCCCTTTGGTAGTTACTAACCCCCCACTTTTGATTTGAAGTGTATATATAGGGTAACACAGAAGCGTATCGACCGTTCAAAAAAGTTACTTGACACTTTGGACGTTTTAACCTTACTTTTCCTGTAAACTTTGATGCACTACTCTGCCCTTTGAACCAATGTAGAGCGAAGATTTTGAACTGTTAACAGGCTTTTCGCGCCACCCAGTATACTACATGTCAACTGACAACATGTTCGACACATACCATCGAGCAAATAACATGGAAACTAGCCCAACAGCGGGCCCTTCTGGATACCCACATTTAATCGACCCAGCAGGATTCGCAGGGCAACGGCTACCCTGCCTCCTACTGAACACGCACAGTACATCTCGCGGTTGACATGTTGCTATTAAAAAAAGATAAATGTAATTTTTTTCTCAGTGTTTTTTTTGGGACAGGCAAGGGGGCGCCTATGTTTGCCACACGAGAGACAAAGCATGTTAAATGCGGTACGTGTGAAAATGCGTAACAGAACGGCGCTCTTATAGTATCTGGTAGATATGTTGGATCGATTCAAACGCAAGATGCAAAACGTAACGTGCTTCGGGTGAAGACGGATTCGAGTAAACCAATGAAACTAATGCGCCTTATATATATATGAAAGCATTGTTTAGTTTTGTAAAATATTTATTGTTATCGACTGCGACCATTGAAACGGATTCGAGCTTAACGAACTCTGAGTAGATTTGCTGAAACAACAATGACAAACGAGCATGAAATGATCACATCATTGTACTTATGCAGGGTGTTTAAAGATTCGAGCTCGATTCTCCATTTAGCTCAGGGAACAGCCGTTTTTGTTGCTAGGTCTACGAAACGCTAGTCTTTTCGTGGACCTATCAAGCTTTTCTGTTAGAAAAATGAAAACTTTAGAAAAAATGAATCACAAAAAAAACACTTGGGAAATATGCGAAACACAGACGAACCATATATAGTTTTTGTTTAACACGGGGTAAACATTGACCATCTCACTAGGTGTGCTCAACCCTACTAGGGGCAAACACGTTACCGCTGAACGATCGCGGTCACCGCAAAAATAAGTTAGCTGCAATTGAAGCAATGTGTACAACCGTATATTCGAAATATATAGGTCTTCGTTCAATCCAAAAGAAGGTGAGCTAGCTGTCAAGTAATATAACATGTACGAAATGTATGCAAGTTCTCGAAGCCTTTCGAAGTATATTGTTGTACGTGGTGTCTTTGCCAAGATGCCACGTACAACAATATACTATAAAGCAACAATATGGCCTGAAGAAATTCCGGCCCCCTAATGACCTAATCTTGGCCGGCTAGCATCACGATTTTCTTTGGCTGGAGAGAACGTGAACAAGATAAATGGATCGTCAACAATAATAATAAACTCCATGCTAGTTGCTCGTTTCGAAACGTTCTGATGAGACACTCTAGCTATAGGTATATAGAAATCCGTATAATTGGCATAATTTGGTCCGCATAGTGATTCTTGTTTAAGTTAAACAAGATATTTTGCTTTTACATCTCATGCTATGTATTGACCCTAATATATAGGCATTTATTACATGTTTGATAGGTACGCTAGAGAGGCCTAGCGCTTTATTCCGTTTGCTGTTTATGATTGATGACCGTTGCCTCTGATTATTGTATGCAGCTACCCCTGGTAACAATGACGTCTTACTCAGTAAAGAAAATTTAACTCTGAGGCGCGATCAGGATCACGTAGATTGGTAATCCGTTTGATACAGCTAACTCAGACTATAAACTTCCAGTTCCCAGTGACTCCCAGAAAACGAACTAAGTGCGTTTGTACGATCTTTCTATACCTTTGATTATTTTTGGGTAGGACTCCACATGGCAGAACATACGTGTTCGTTGACCTTTAAACACACTGATGAATGACGTGGGAAATTATATAGAATTTAGAATGTTTAGGTATCGAGCAATTAAGACTTAGACTATTAGCTAGATTTATTGAAAGTTTTAAAATGGTAGTCCTCACAAAATGCAGCCTAATGATTCGCTCGACCTAGAATTTTCGCTTAGCTATCCACAACCTCTAGCAGTCATTGAACTATAACAGTGACTCCTTGTGACCCGCTTTACCGAGACAAGCGTCACTGCCTCAACTTTCGCCCCGATGATGGACGAGAGCCAGCCACCAAGCGTCTGTCAAGCAACGGTCTCTATTTTACGTTATAATTTTTATTATTTTATAATGCATACAAAATGCGCATTAGGCTAGAGTAACTCACTGAAAGCATTAGTCGCCTATAAGCTAGACAAGCATGCAGGATGTTTTACGCAGATCTTATCTTAAGGGATGCTTAAGGGACACGGTAACGCATGTCTATAGGACCAACGCCGCCCGTACCTTACAGTTTCTGTAGTAGTGTCCAACGAGAAGTAAAAGGCGGACGTTGCAAAGCACCTCAAACGTATTAGGGTTGGCGAAAAACTATGTTATATGGAGCCACTCTTGCTTACTTGCGCTTTCCGCACCCTATGTTAATTTTACCGATATATCGAGGAACCCAGAATCTATGGGCTACAGACATCCGTAAAGAGCTGGTCTACAGCTGACACTCATGTTATTACCAGTTGTACTAGTAAACGTTCATAAGCTATCGTTATCCGCATATTCCTCGAAGCTGACAAAAGCTTCTGAACTGCAAAAACCGTTCAGACACAGACATTTTGACGCGCACTACCAATTTACAAAGGAGCCTTGACTGCTTTCGGGAGAGGAAGTTTTTTGCCACACGGCCAATGTCAATCCACGAAAACACTCCAATAAAAAATAAACGCGTTAATATATATATACTGTCTACGAGATCAGTACACGGATGCTCAAGGGTCAGCTTAATGGGATCACTTTAAAAGACTGAACTATAAATCTGAGTACTGGCACATCCCACTTCCTTTAAGCAACCCGTAGTACTCATGAATGAAGATCAACACTGACATTCTCACGCACATCTGTTAATCTTACGAAAGGCACTGAGGAAGACTACTGCAGATGAAATTCTACTATCGCCACTGATATGATTAAGTTGTTTGGAACTGAGTCGGCAGAGTGACGATGTCGTGCAGTTACATCGATTAGAGCAGTTATGTCGCATGTTGGTAAACACGAGCGGAACTACTGCGGTATTTATAACTTGGTGCATTGAAGGTATACGTTAAGAGCTTAAGTTTGTGTTTAATTCAGGAAGCACCATTTTGTAGTCAGCTCTTACCTGCCTCCCATCTACGACAGACGACGCACTACCGCTGGTATGCTTCGATCGGTCGGCCTGTTTGTTTAGTTCACTACTTCAAAATTAAAAAAAAAATTATTTTTTTTTATCGGCAAAAGGGTTGCACTTTTGGCCTATCTCGTACGGGATTCATTTACGGGTATCAACGAGTGAGTACGCTTATCGGAATTAACTACTCAATGAGTACAGATTACGTTCTCACACGCTTAATAATCACGAACCTGCGACGTCGGAACCTACCGGACGCAAATAACAGCGACAACATAAAGTGTCATCCCTGAATGAGGAAAAGATATTCATGGTACATGGTAGCCGCACGACCGCAAAGCGAAGTTAACGGGAATTAGTGCGCTGCAGAGGACCAGGCCGATCAGACCAATGCCTTGGGGTACCTCAGGCCGCTTTTAAAATAAGCATATAGTAAGTAAACATTTATTCAACTATATTATTTTTCATTTGTGCGCATACATTCGTATGCAACATACTGTTGATTGTAAATACTGGACTAGACCACATTGCATGAACTGTAATCCATCATATGTAATAATATTGAAAAAAATACGTCACGATTGTGCCTATCTCTATGCGATAATTCTCGTTATATATATATATATATATATATATATATAGATATACTAACTATTTTTAGTTGACACGTATAGGAAATTCTATGAGAACGATTAGGCACAATAATTAATGTGAGATAATTAATGTGGATCGATATTAAATTAACTGTTTCCTATGTAATGCAACAAACGATGTCTAAACATACACAATATCTTGCATGTTTGGGAGAAACAAATACACAATCTAGGGTGGGCACAAGGGCGTAATAGACCATAATAAATCTCAATCAGCCCGTTTGAAGAACAGCGGAACTTCAAGGTAAAACTGCTGATCGTTCTTATGTTTCGCACGATGTTATTCTATTTTTTCGGTAACTAAGAGTAAGACGGTGTTGTAGGACGAGCTGTGTCCGTTGACAAGATCATATGGTAGTACGTCTCTGTTGGTAAATAGCGAGCGGGTCGTAAAATTCCAAAGAAATACTATAAAGTTATCCGATGCGTATAATGAAACCATCCGTCCCCATTTATAAAGTATACATCATATATCTAAACTATTAAGGATAATCTCGGCTTTTAAGGAAAAGTCGCGTCAAGCCATCGTGAGCATTCTTTAGTCAGACATTTCCCTGCCGAACGTTCTTTCTGGTAAACGTTCGTATGCCAAAGGCACTAGATAAAGTTTGGACAGTTCTGTGTAGATTGGTCAAGTACATAAACGCCCGAAGGGCCATTTGTTGGATCGACACCAAGGCTAATTAGGAATTAGAGATTTAATATAGATGCTAATGAACAGCATATGCTTCAAAATCGAAAAAACTTTTGAAGGTCTTACTTCAGACTAACACGCACGGTAGGTCAAGACAACTTCACTATGCTTAAATCGCTACTGATTTTACTATTTATGAATAATGTTAAACTAGAATTTACCGAATTAATTTTTATTGTTAAGTGGAACCACGATTGATTTTACAAATAAAATATATAATTGACACGCTTGTTTATTATATCACAAAATAGAATATATAGCAAAAGATCGACGGCTGAGTTTGTTGTATTACCAACGCGTCTTCATGACTTCCCGCACGTGGGCAATAACAATCTCTTAAGATCGCTATTCGTTCAAAGCATCGTTCTAATTATTACTGTTAGGATGCTGGTTGTTATGAGGGCACAGGTACTCCATGATGGCAAGAGCATTAGTCCCCCTGAAAACTTGGCATCCGTCGAGTTAGCTGCGTTTCGTTGCGTGGGAATGGGTGCGGACGTTGTCAGTAGACTCGTAACCGGCTGGAAGGTTGATATTAAACCTCGACCCTCAGCTAGCAAAGGCGGTTTGGTATTCGAGTTCGCCGTCGGCATAGTGACGATCGAATCTTTAGCGGTTGTAGGTTGTGTGTCTTCTACTGAGTCCGAGATGCTGGCACTTGTATGAATATCGTAGTTCACCCAGGGCACTTCAATTTCGTGGGCTACGGTATCAGCGATTTCACCTCCCATGCCGAAGTCCTATAGCGAAAGGGAAGCAATTGTAGCAACACTAAACAGGGTGAAATGAATTGATTGCAGTAATTAGCTAATATGTGTGAGGCCTAATTTATATGCTTATTCTAAAAATAGAATTTCATAGAAAACTTCATGGAAAAAATTTAACTTTCTCAACCGAATTCAATGCATTATAACTTTATTTGGTTTTACATAGTACCATATGCAACATGCTAGTAGTTCTCCCTGCACCAAACGCTTACGTTTATAGGAGCCGTCTTATTCGTATTCAGACATACTACAGATATACACGCAAATGTACAACACAGCTTTTCCTGTTTTTTCAAAACGAATCATATATACATATATATATATATATATATATATACAGTGTCAAAGGTAAGAAGTGAACGACCGTCCCAGTGTTGATTATATAACGAAAACAGATTTAACGTTACTGTTAATTATCACATGTTCCCTAACGCAAAAATACATTGTATATTGTTTTTCAAAGATCAGACCTCTAATAGCAGAGATGCATGGATTACTATCGCCCGTGCTCTTAATCTACTGCACTTTCACCCACTGAGACTAGACCCCTAAATGGGCAGGTATTGATACATTATGCTAATCAGCGTATCATAGCTTTCGTTCGGAGGTGTTTCGAGCAAGATTAGTACAGCCCTGATAGCTCATCCGACTTAGGCCTTCGTCTCCTTTCTACCAGGCAATGTCTTCACCATTTGTTCAACTGAACTTCTATTTAAATCAATCAAAGCCTAACGATTTATTCAAATAAGCAGGCGGTATCGCTTAGGCATCGCCATTGTCCACTTGTGTCACTCGAAAGCCTCTATTTGTCTAGCTATTCGTGCAACACACGATGTTTCAACTGTGCTGGAAATGGGTGATTTTTTTTAAAGCGGAGCACGTAGCCTTTGATAAAGTTGATTAGGTTAGAAACCGGCCATAGACGGATATACTTCGTGCTATGCTGGGAGCCACCCGTCTAACTGAATGCCAGTAGCAATGACGGTATCAGACGTAGAGCAGGCAACCCTTATTTTAGAGATGTATCGGCTTGAATGGTAAGAATCACCTATCCGTTTCAATAACAAATATCTTTCAGGATAAACATCTACAAGTTATGTTTTTATGAAGCACAGATTCACACGTTTAATGATAATACTAAACAAAGAAGGAGAAGACCATAGAATGAAGTCACTTTCGATCAAAATATTAGTGAACTAAATGACGTAAATATGCTTCTGAAACAATCAAAAATCGTAGGAATAAATAGAAAACAACTGGGGGCTAAGCCCAGCCAATTCTCCTCGCACCCCCACAATAAGCAACATCTCATCAAACGTATTTAGTATTATTATTATTATCTATAAATCAACATATCGTGCATTACTGCTCATCTTATCGATGTAACAGGGGCCAGTCGTCAACAAAGAAGATTAGACGACTGCCCCGTTATGTAGCTGCTATAGACTTCGTACCAGAAGAGCTACATCAACACGGGATTTTGCCCGTGTTTATACACTGAACTACCGTATGAAACACGAACATATATGTTATTGTACGAAAATACTGTTTTCGGTAAAGCTTTTCGCTATCGTTCTAGTTGAGCCTGAGTTATTAATGGGATTATGCCATTATGGCAGGATCGCTACATATTAATTGATTGATGAACGATCGCATAAATGTGAAGAAAATGATGACCAAAGCAGCACCGATCAAGCCAAACGATTCCATTAAAGTTTCATTTAGCTATTGGCGTAATGGCGGACAAAAAATCCACTATTACACATTGTCATATAGGAAGCTAGACGAACCAGCCGCGATTTCCTAATACGAGGTAGTTGAATGCCACCTAATCTCAGCTTGGCTAAAGCCTACTGAAGAATTCATGCAAAACGACAGCACCCGCACGCCTCTATGCGTACATAGCCTACCCTACGATGTGTTGACCGCATTGCTTTAACGCGTTTACAAATAGTACGTCGTCTTCCCAAGCGATAGGTGAACATATAAATGGGCTTTTTCGTTAAGGCAATTCGTCCAGTATTTGTGTGCCGTCTATGAGATTTAATGCAGATATTTCAGCTGGTCTATTTCGATCAGAGACTTAGTATATGCACAGGACTAAAGGAAACACGAAACATAAATGAGCAGTCAGACCAATATTCGACTGTATCCCTAAAATACATAGTTCTCTCCGTGAAATTACTGTAATATAAACAAGCGCAACAATAGGTCTCATCAAATAGGCCCTGTTAGAGAACCAAACGAAAAATAACTAATATTATGGGGTTTGTCTATTAGTTCGTATATGTTTATTACTCATCATCTGCGCAAAACTGTATCCGTATCATTCTAGTCGGCCTATGAAGGGGCCTAATTTTTTTTCGATTCGTATTTTGGACCCAAAAAGGCAGCTCACTGTTTTGTCATTACGAAAAGCAAAAACTATTATTTCTAAATAAAATGCTCCACGTATCGAATGTTTTTTGTTAGTATTTTTTGTGGCGCACCGAAGTTTTTTATTTCATTGATGAACAGGGACCAGAAGAGCTCTATTTAGCTTAGTGAGGCAAGCAAGTTAACATTCAGTTCGGTATTAGGTGTCCTGATAGGCGATTTTTACATATACACAAGCTAAAATTCGAAATATCCGCGAGGATCACCGCTGTACCCAGCTTCGACCAGGACCGACTTGGCACCTTCCTGCATAATCGTATAATTGCATTGACTATTTATCATCTCTGTCAAGAATGGGCGTTCGCAACTCGGGTTAAAAAACCTTATAAACCACTTCTAAAATACCCCTCTTACGCCACAGTAGAAAAATGAGAAATTCGACGAGAGTTTTTCATCGATACACGTAGCGAGCTCTGCGCTCAAGAGATCTGTTGCCCTTGTCTTTTCGTTACACGCGGTTACTTCTTTGGCTGGTGTGGCCAAAAGCAACGCAGAAAGACCTTGAATAAGGCGTACGACTGCGTAGACAGATTATATTTTAAGTGTGTATGTGACAGAACGAAGAGGTCATTGACGAGTTAACGGAGAATCAGCGTTGGCTTTCGAGGTCTGCAGAATCGTCCAACTCTGCTTATTGTATTTCAATGAGAGATCATCGAATCGAACGTTCGCCGAAGTAGAAATCAACGCGCCTTGTTCCGGCTCACCTATTTCAAATGTCTTTAACCTGTGAGGGCAGATGCTCATCGGATTAGCACGCATTACATTTGCATCATTTTAGGCAAAAAAGTGCTTGTTGTCAAGGGGGTCCAGCTGAAACGCTTTGTAGGCGGTAAATCCTGAGAGTTAGATTCGTAGATTATTAGAAATACATTATCCATATATATGCTATTATCATCTAATGAAGCCTGCCCTTGAAATTCGGCCACATTTTGTCCTGCTGTTTGCATGGTAAGCGTTCGCTCACCTACGATTTTTTTAGTAGTAGAATGGAGCTGGTTTTTTCTTGAAAAAAATCATAAACTTATTATGGCGGAAAGCAGTACGTCATTTTTTAACGTCAATCGAAACAAAGCTCAGCACTTATCCAATCTCTTGACGCAGGACGAACTTCTAGGCAGAATTTAAACTTCCTTTCCTGGCGAAAATTCTTAGTCTACGTTATTGTTAGCGTCCGTGGGACGTTTCGGCGAGAGAAAAAAAATCGGCGAGACGAAGCATGAGGTTCTCAATAAGGCTTAAACGACCTAAAATTCTTTAAAGCAATGCAAAATCCGCTCCAGATATTTATGGATTTTTCATTCAGAAATTAGCAGCTGCTTCCAAAAGGGAAATATCTACTATCAAATTGCCACTGAAGTCATACAGATAAGCTAAAACGGTTAGCTTTTTTTGCACCTGTGGGAATTTTCCGGATCCTTAGCGCTTTTATCTTTGAAACTCTGGGTTTGTTATCTGTCCAAAATTTGACCCTTTTGCTTCTTTGTGTCGAGTATATTCATTCGGATGGAGCTTTAACGAATGCCCAACTACCGATATCGTTAAAACGTCACTGAAAGTGGTGTAGATCCCAAACTGAAGCTGCGATCGAAGTCGATCAAGATTATACTGAATAAACATGACTGCAGAATATGGGACTCTCTACACATGTAAAAAAAAAATGTTCAAAGTATCCGCTCTTGTTTCGATACAGTTATATATGTGTATGTATATTGAAACACATTCTGCGAGCGGTTAGTCGTAGCTGGTCAGACGGATAGATTTGATTGACTCTGACCATCGTGGTGGTATCTAGATCTCGCTCTGATGACTAACTCTAACATACCAGGGTGTGCCATTAATCGAATAGCTCATGAACATTTCAGCTGCAGATTTTATATCTTCGAAATCCGATAGAAAGTCTTACAGGCCGATAAAACAAGCATTAGCTCTGAATTCTCTGAGGAGTGCAGCCGAAACAGTAGCAGACCGTATTATATTGGACAGTCACGAAAAACTATTTAGCGCGGAATTACTTGCCATGAAAAAATAATTTATTTGAAACTTGAACTTTTTTTGGCTGACTCTCAGCTATTCCTTCTACGGCAGGCTTTTTGCGCCGCTGTTTTAGCGCTGATTTAGCGACTTGTTGTCAGAGCAGGGGGACCTCGATATGAGCAATCTGAAGGGACCAAACCGCAAAAATTCTTAGAGCTTTTTCTACTGCATTTATCTGTATTCCACGAATTAGTAGGCAGACACGTTACCATTACTTCCTTGTGAGGACGTCTTTTTTGATACAGTTTCGTCAGCGGTGCAAGCCCTAAATTGAAGTCATTTATCAAAGCTTCACCCAACGCGTCGCGCGCATGTGTCTGTGTCAGGCCACATAAAAACCTTCCTTTCAAACGTCTGTTCGAATTTCGATGCACCGCTTATAGATGGGCAGCATCAATCTTGTCGGACTATGAAGCTGTCACCGTTGTAAACAGAGAATATCTAAGAGGAGACCCAATAACAGAATTAACTCGTTTACGGATAATGGGTTGTGTAGACAAACGTTAGTTCCGTTTGCCTAGACAGATGTACCAGAAACAGAGTGAACGGGATACGTCATCTCGTAGACCAGGTTCAAATGACGGAGCCTGTTTGGCCAGCAAGCGTACCTTAACCTAGCTGTCACGATTTTTTTCTCAAAATTTACGCTTTGTCGTTAAAAAATGAGGAATACTATTATCAAACGCAGTACTAACAATAGCAGTCTGGTACCTCTAGCATATTTTTCAGAACTGAACGTTACAACCAAATGAACGTTTCACTCATTTTAAGCGACAATTGTCTGTCCCAAGTTAGGCGATAGAACTTTTTTTATTAACCTAATTTGCCTAGATGTGCTTATTTCACTTCATTTGTATGATGTTCCGCCCAGTGGTTGCCTACGGGTGGAATCTCAACGTCTATACAACAAAGAATAAAGCACATGGTAAATTATTATTGTGCTTATTTTATTTTTAGTTTTCATTAAAACGGATTGTCTTAAATCAATACAACAGTCTGATACTTTAAAATAGAGTGCTTTGATAAACTGATCACTTGGGCATATATCGTATACGTATCTGGCCATCTGTGTGCACCGGGTAGCATTGTTTGACAAAAAGAATTAGCTAACTAAATAGAAATGCTTAAGCAGTATATAGCCAGGCTTGATTGATAGCCTGCAATAATGTCCTATAGCTAGATTCTAAAAAAAAGTATTGAAACGGAAAATTTGCAGCTTTAATTAATTAATGAGGCATTAATAATACTAAAAATACTGCCATATTAGCCTCTTCCTAAGAAATTTGTGAGAGGCATCCTTGTTGAAACACTCTTATTTCCTGTTAATCACTATCTACCACACACACCACCCCCAATAACCCAAAGCGTACCTGCGCTGACACGTGAACACTCGTCGTGCCAAGAAGTAGCCAAGACAGAAACATCGAAATGGCTTCCAGATGTACTCGCCTCATATTTTTACTATAAACAAAGATTCTCTGGGCAGTTTTGTGTTCTCCAAATTATCTGTACTTGATGGAAATGCAAAGCGGAGCCCTGTCAGGCTCTAGCCGCTCCCACGGTTACGATAGGCTTGTCACCTGAAAACGGACAGTAAGGACACGTCGAGCTTTACCACTCAGCGAAATGCTACTATGGACAAACAAATAATCGTTACATCACGAATGTCGATCTTTGCTCAAAAAGTGGCTCGCAACAAAAACTGACAATTGGTACTTGAACTTTGAAGCGCTCAGTCAGAAGACCACAATAGAATTATTCCGAGATCAAACACGATCTCATTGAGTGGCAGTGGGCACCAGACCTCAACTCGGCTGCGTCAACCTCATCGGTATCAACAGAGAAAGTCTCAACAACTGTCGAAGCACCACATCGTAGGTGAAGTCGTCACGAAGAGAACTCATTAAAAAGCACTTTTTCTACCGCAGTGATCTGCTAATATTCATACCAACACCAACAGAGAGAAAATTACGGCACCATCGACATTATGGCCACCGTGAGCACCCGCTGTTGACAGCGTTTATCTGCGCGCGTCTAGCTCGACGGTTTCTAATCGCGCCCGTGCTTTTGCGTATTCACACATCAGTTGCAGTACCGCTATATAGAGTACAGCATGATACACTCCATAGACGATAGTTGGTGTCCAGTATGGCCTCAGCCACTGATGTATGGTATTAGTAAGCCTCTATAATGGCTAGATCGTGCGAACGCTTGTCGGATTAGCCGAGTCTACATGTCGACGATGAACAGCGAACAACGTCAGCTGCTAAAGCAACATATCAGCCACGATCAGTGAGCAGCTGTAAGAACACAGACGCATCTCTCGATCAGCGTCTGCCGAAGCAGCACCGAAAACACTAACTCCAACACCTGCGGCCTTTAGCAGCCCAACAGAAGCATGCAATGCTCAGTGCGGTTGTCCGGCAAAATCCTTCTATTGTAGGGAACTAACGGCTTCGACGGCGTTTGAAGCACTAAATTGGACAGGATTTCTCGGAACACGTGCAGCAACAAATAGCACAAGTCTCAACTGCCGAAAGTCTATGTACAACCCGAGCTTGAACAGAAAAAGTTGGAACAGTTTAGACAGGCCTACTCATAGTGGGAGATGGTGCTAACAAAGAGGATATCTCACGTTGTCTTTCACTTCTCGATAGCAACTTCCTTTCGACGTTAACAACAACTTTTTGCTATTATTGCTGTTACACCATATCGCCAGTGCAGCTTCCGGGAGCAGTATTAGAAATACTGGTGGAGGGTAAACAGGTACGTTACGTGATCGCTCTCAACGATTCACTACGAAGACACGGGCGCGCAGCGCAGGACTTTTTGATCTCTGCGGTTTCTCCTGCCTAGTTGCGTTGAATTCAAACGACTGGACCAGCTGTTCAGTTGGCGGCCTATGCAAGCAGGCCTATCGACGTGTCGACGAAAGCGTGCTTACCTGTCTGAAAGAAGGGCAATAGCATAACAGCCAGTCAACGCGGTTTCTCGAACGACGTAGTTGGTTGCTATAGACGCGGTGATCACTGGCATCGCAAACGAGATGTAGCGATTTACAGATGCTGTGCTGGGAAACAAGGGAGGTGGGGTTAGTTTATGATGCTCTTCCCAACATGTCGGATCAGCGAACGGTTACTAGTACTAGATGCTTGTGACGTATTCTGTGCTGAGAGACGCTTGTGGAGAAAGAGCTCTCTTCTTTTTTCAGGACACAGCGCCAACGTTAGGACTAACTCGAGCTTCGTTGAGTGGCAGCTCTATGTAGCAATGTTATTTGCGGGACCTCTGCGAGTCTGAATTTCTCTGCCAGTACGAGTACCGGTAACAGGTTCAGAATATCAGCGTTGCTGTCTGCTGAGGAGCTTAACTAGATAATGGTCAGAGGCGTAACGCTACTAGAAAACGCACAAGATATACAGTGGCGGCTAGCGCTGTACGTTACTATCAGATATTTGGTGAAGCTAGATTATAGGCCGTGACCAGGGAACGACAAGACGAATTGATGTGCTAGAATGGGGAGTCTAAAACTCTAGATACATTAGCGCGTATTTATCTAATACGTGCAAAGACAGAAACACATGCAGCCGGTATGTAATTTTGACGACCACAGCCACCGATGTTGAATAGATTGACGAACCGTGTCTCTCACTGTCTTCCTCGAGGACACGAAAAACAAGGTCTATAGCTGTTCCATGGTGTGTATGTAGATTGAATAACCAGTTAGGACACACATGTACCTGCTAGTGATCATACGTGCAAAACAAAGCTAGACGCCCGACAAAGTCTATGCCATTCTAGTAGGTTCCATTGGGACCCAGTTTCTTACGCCCCTAGGGTGCCACTTGATCCTTTTAACCCTACTGCGGGTTACTGCAAAATTTGTGACTTCTGGAGAAAAACGTTACGACAAAAAATATTCGAATTATGTATTAGGTGCTGAGCGATGAGCGTCTAAATAGAAATAGAAATGAATGTTTGGCATATACTGAATCGATTTCATAAAAAAAAAAAAAAAAAAAAAATTTCCATCCAGATTTCATACTTCGTACTTTCGATAATGATGCAATTAATTTGTTTTTTTTTTGACGATTTACAAAATGGTATGAGTTTAGTTAAGTTGTACTAACGACTAGTATGAATTCCGATCTTTATGGTTTTCTAGAGATATTTGTTCTAAGAAGCTATCTAGTTCTCAAATAGAGCTAGTTTGTGTTTACGCAATGCAGTGTTGCATTAGCCTGGAAAAAAAAGTCCCCAGCATTTAATACATCGTAGAATAGTCATGCCACAAACTACTCCGTCGTTCATTGAGTTGTGTTTCTTTGATTGCCGTTCCATTTACGACCAGCCTTGCCAAGCCGTAGTAAACACGGCAATCAAAGAAAAAACAACCTGAGAATAAGGAAATAATCGCTAAGTTGTTTTCTAAAGCGGGCCATATTGTATTTTTGTAGTTATACCTAATTGTCTGCATGATTTTGTCTGTATCGCGGCGCGATATTTTAGACCAGTGAAGGACACAACGTATTTGACTATAGGACTGTGCGTAGATTATGCCAACGAGTCAAACAAAAAAAAGGTTCTTTCTGGAATGCGTCCGAATCAGCGCTGAAGGTGGACATACAGCTACTTAGGTCTTCTAGTATTAATAGCTGTCTACTTACAATTTAAATATCATACCTGTAATCATATATGACTTGGGCCACTTTTAACCAACTGCTACCTTAAAGATGTCCTAACGATAACGTGATAGTACCCGCAGGAACATGGAACTAGACGTAGACACATCACTGGAGCTCGCCGACAGGACCAACGATCTAAAGCAGGGTTCAATAATAATATTGGACTCGAAATAGTTGTTAGGACTCCTTAGATCATTTGCCATGGAAGGAACAGATATCTATAGAAGCTGCTTTCATATAGTATACCGATATTTTTGACCGAATACGATACTTTCTACTCCTGTAAGTCTCTATGCATGAAGCGTGATCTATAGGCGACCAAGGCATAAGCCCGTGCTACGCGCTATTATAGGGCCAGCTGTTTATTTACCTTTTACAAAAAGGAAAGCTTCTGAGTTATTCAGCTGAACTAAAATTCGAACCGGAACGATTTTTGTGACGACTGTCCAATTCAGGCTGGCATAAATGAGACATTTAATCAACTTTACGCAAGTGAAATTTGTTTAGGGAACGTAGATAGATCGAGCAGCTGACAAGCGAGTTAAACTATCAAAAAAGGCTCTTCCGTACCTTTTACTGACTAATCAAAATGCTTCAGACCTATACTGATTAAACTATCCAGATGAAACGCTACTTTCAAAATAAGTCCGTCTTCTTTTCATATGGTTGCAAATTCACATCAGCACAGAATTGCCATAGCTGACCTACGTCAACGACTACATAAAGGACCTATTGATCAAAATGCTTTATTGAAACATTTTCTTGTCTGTTAAAAGCTCTCAGTTGTTCGATATTGCAGGCGTAATCACTCAAGCATAAGGATCTATGCCAAATGCAGCGGTACGCACAGGTTGTATGCATTCATTAATACTAAACCTACCGGCGCCTCCTGGTTACCGGTCGTAATCATGCCTGATCAACCTGACTGATCATTAAAAAGGTTAGCGTTAACAAGTAGGTATTTAATGACACTAGACACAGGTCTAAAATATATGAGCCTCAGGAAAAAATTCTCAAACCTCTGGAACAAAATTCTCAAACAAATCAGTCGCTATTGGCGGGCTTGTAGCTACGTGCTCAATCGTTACGTGCTACGAATCGTTTCTTACCAGCTCTCATTGTTCTATTAGAAGCTTGAAATAGTTGATAAACTGCTATAAAAGCTCCGCTCTTATGGCGGAGCTTTTGTAGCAGAGTTTACCTCGCACATAGACGCATTTAAGTGAAACTGAAGTTCATCTGCTTATATGCGGAATAGGACGAACGCCCCTTGAGGGATGTATTATATATTGTATATATACACAGTGTACGTACATATGTATTGTAAAGACGTAAAAAGGGAACTCTTAACATGCCAAGTGACTTTGCTTTGCTCTGCACACATATATACCTTGACCCTAAGTAAAATCTCCATTATTATGAATTCTACGCAGCAATAGGCATTGGGGAATGGTCGTCTGAATGAAACTAATGACTGTGTTTTACTTTAACTCTAGTTCAATAGGCCGCCACGCTGCGACATAGGCGATGAAAATTTGAGCCTTTAAGGCAAAAGTTCAAACGCAAGATGGCAGGCCTAGATTGGAGTTTGGCTGCTGAAGGACCCGTAAAGGTCCGTTTTTCTGCTGGATTCGGCGCCATTTAGGCAAAGGAAGCAAAAAAACACTGCTTGATTTACGTCATGGCCTAAGTGATCGAGAAAGAGCAATCTTTTAACTATTATGGTGTGCTATGGCAGAGTCACCTGTATACGAATTCTGTCTATCGTTGTGGAATAGGTGATGTTAAGGCGATTTCCGGCCTGAGGGCTACATCGATTCATTGTAATCTAAAATGTTATAATCACGCTAAATTGATTAAATTATTTTTTATTTTTTTAATTTTTAAAAAATAAATTTTTAAAAAAATGAAACTATTTTTTAAAATATGAATCGATGCAGACATGGCTTACTGTGGCAGTTTCTTTTAGGCCTAGGCGGATGCGGTGCTAATCTATTGTTTGGATGATGGTTCAAAATAGAGATACCGCCGTATGAAAAGGGATAATATTTGATTTAAACTAAAATCAAATAGCAGCTAACTTATGAAATAATTTTTATTTAATATAGCAAGCGTAACATTTTATCATTTATTACCGCCTTAGAAAATAAACCGTCATAATAAAATATCATGTCACGACAGATATGATTGAATAAAAAAGCGCATATATGTACAAGATACATATATCTACAAGAGATTAAAAAAAATCCGGCTACAATGACGTTCTTCATGAATCACAATTTACTTATAGCAAACATTTAGAATAAGTTTCGTTTATTTGAATTTTCAATATGCAAATATCCTGCCTGCTAAAGGAATTAGAATAGTCAAAACAGGCCGATCAAGGTATAGTTCAGGACGGCAGAGATGGCAAGGTATAGCAGGAAACGCATCCAGTGTTCCATCACTGTTGCAGCTCCTAAAGCTGGAGAAGAGTTTCCTGAAGAATCAGGATAATGTCTTCCTTGCCAAGGTGAGCCTAACTGGCCCACTTGATCGCGGGGAGGCTATATGAAATAAAACCGAATATATGTCTATATATATAAATATAAGGTGCGAGTGACAGATAACTATTCACTTATCCACAATTTTTATTCTTGGATAACTGCACGTTAAGTACGAACTATAATAGTCCATGGAATCTATCGGGTAAGAACGATAGCTGCTACGTTCTTTAATGCATATGTATAGAGTACACATTAAACTGTATGTATTTAGATAGTGACATGTGTTTCGAAGTTAACAGGCAACAGGTAACAAGCAAGTAAGATGTCTAGAAAAAGCTATCTTTAAACAGAGTAGGTTTTAAGTGAGTTTAGGAGAGGAGGTTTTAAGTGATCTTTAGAGAGAACTTCCTCGGAGCTTTTTTTAACGCTGCAATCTAAGTACCTAAGTACTTGCAGAAAAAAAAAAGGCAATATTGTGAGAGACAACTTATCCGCCTGTTTCCTAAGAAGGTGACGTGATCTCTCGGACGTAGTAACAGCTAGCTATTGCAGCCTCGCGCTTCAAAACACGACAGCCATGCTAGCCCAGGCTAAAATGCACCATCCTAATTGATACAGCGCGCTTCTCTTAAACGTATTCGTAATGGACCAATTGTATCTATTTCACTACGCGAAAATAGATAAAACCAGTGCTA